AGCTGATATACTTCTGGGATCCTCCCAAAACTACTGAAAAAGCTTAACGTGAAGAGTTTCGAAGCAAAACCAAATCCTTCTCTAAGAATAAATCAAATTTAATCTTTGAGTTTAAGAAATGGTCTGACATTGGCTGGGATGGTATGCATGCATTCACACACCTTTCTCTGATCACGACATTCTGGCACTGGCATAAATGTTGTGTGCTCACTAGCAGTGCTGGACCTCTCTCTTTCTAGGTAGAGTTCTCAAGGGATGTGGTTTAGTTACAGGTCAAGCCAGACAGCATTGGTCCTCTAGCTTAAGTCATATTTCTAGTCCTGGAGGTCCCTGGTTCATTAATTAGTGCGTTGACCAAATGAACATAAATACTGAAGCAGGAATCTTCAGAGGCACTGTGCCTTTAGTAACAAAGCAGTTAAAATCTGGGAAAAAATCCTTCAGGGCTTAAGAAGTCATGCATGCTTTGGTGGGAAGGCTTCATATACCATGAGCATTTGTAGGCTGCCTTTTCACCAAAGCACTTTGGGACAATGGGGAATCTCTAAGGTGCTTTGCTGTCACCCCTTTTAGGTTGGTATCCTGCTATCACTTATTATTCCACAGAGTTCTTACCAGTGCGAGTAGTCCCACTGAAGTCAGAACAGTTAACTCATCAATACAGATAAGTTCTTGGCTGTGTTTGAAGAACTAACCTCTGTGGTCTTTTGAACAGTCACCAGCTAGTTTAACACCTCTGGAATCAAAGATAGTATCATTAAGCCAGCTAACCTTAAAGAAACCTTCCATGAATTACATGCCTGTGTCAAACTGTGACTGCTTTTTGATGACTCCTCAAATATTTCCGTAAAGGAGAATGGTTTTCATACATTTAAAACCCATTCATTAAACAGACTGGAAGCAAATGAGAAGCCTGCTTAACTGTACAGAGAACTTAAAAACAAACAAACAGAAAAGGCACCCACATGCTGCACAATACAAAGTTTCAGCCTTATCATTATATATACGCTCTGTGTGCTGCCACCTCCAGAGTAACTTGATTCTTCTAGATTAATTGTACCAAACCGTGTAACGGATAGCTGGCCAACCGTCACGCAAAAGGCTGTGTCACTTATGGACGTTAGGCTTTGTTCTTTACAGGACTCATAAGATTATCTTGGGCCAAGTCAGCTATCTTCATGTTGCCACTACAATTCACTTATTGGATAGCTGTTATGTAACTGATTAAGATAATGTTTTAGAATTTCAGTTAACAAACCAAGATATGAATGCTATTAACAGATATTCCCCAAATATGCATATACCCGAAAAATTGCAAGACCACCTGAATAGAACAAGTGCTTACAGTTTAAACAAGCAGCTCAGGTGATCTATTGGTAAATGTCAGCAGGTAGACAGACCCATACAGAAGAACAGTCACGGTTTCTCTCTGTAGTTTATAATTCCTTAGCTTGTGTGTTCTGACTTAATTTTTCTGATTATAAATGAAAATGTGTTAAACTTCACTAACAGGCACTCTAGATGATTTCTTTTCATGATTAACTTAGGAAACTAAATATATTAGCAGAAGAAACCTTCATTGTTATGAAAGTGGCCTACAGGAATTGTAGTCAGAACTGACAGAAATGCTGAAAAGCCATTATCAAACAGCAAGAGTTTTTTATATTACCATTTCCTGCCTTCTAAAGATGACAAGCCAGTATCTGCACTGACATAGTGTTAGTGAATCACTTCATGGCACCTATGAGAGTCCTAATAGAAATTATATTTTGAAAATATATGGAATAATTTATACTTCAAAATAATTTTATTTTGTAGCCAGCTAAGAATATTGCATTCAAACTTGCCCTTTTGATAAGAGCATCAGATTTTTTTCTTTCTTGTGTGTACAGGTGGAAGTCACTGACCAGCTCAACTTCAGTTTCAAAAATGCCTAAAGATGTGGACATAATTCAGGACTTCAAGTTTTCCAAAGCTCTGGCTTCTCCAAAGGTAACTAATGTATATGACAAATTTGCTTCTATTCTGTGCAACAAATATAGAAATGCAATTGTATTTCTTTTCTAGAAATTAGCCATAAATAACCCTACATATCCTTCTCATTCAGTGGAAAGCTAGAACAAAAATGCATAAACAGGGATAGAAGGAACCTATCTGGTTTTCATTCTTATTGTTTCACACCCAAATTCCAATTTAGAAGGTAGCACACGCTGATTCACGTGTTTGGTTTAATAGCATTAAAAGCCCTAGAATTTTCATAGGCTCCAACAGAAATCCTAAATGTCTTAAGTTTACTTGAAGGAGGTGTGAAAATACTAGAACAGTGAACCTCTCGTTATACACAATAGTTCTTTCAGGGTTCCCATGAAACCAGAAACCAGGAGAGTTCTGAGTTAGTTTATATATCGTTATTAATACTTTTGAAACTCTAATTGAATAATGGTTGAGCTCCTCCATCTTTACACGGTTTAGCCCTTAAAAGTTATGGGAACAGATAATACTTCTCTTGCAGTTGTAGTAGCAAAGGAAAAAGATACAATCCTATGACCACTTGCCAAAAAAGCTTCCATTAACACCTTTCTGACCATTCTGTCTCAAAGGCTAGTGGTCAACGGCTAGTGAGGGGTATGAACTCTTAACATCCTCTCCCCAGATTTGTGGTACTGTGAGTCTCAGTACCACAATCTGATAGCCTAATGTGGCCAGCTAAGGCCCAAACAGCAGTCAGTAAAAGACAACATAACTCCATGTGACCAGCTACTTTTCTCTGTGTGCCTTGGGTGAAAGCATGACAAGGTGAGTGGAAGACACCTCTCTGCTGTTTACTGCCCTGCCTTGGCAGCCAGCTCTTCCTTTCCCACTTGTCCTTGCTGACTGGGACACCAAGGGTACAACACCAGCTCTCATCTCATCTGGGTGCTTGACTATCTGAGGCTAGTGGATTACTTGCTGCTAAGCTAAGGTAGTCAGTCGTGCAGTGGTGAGGCATTCCATCATTTCACCCCAAGACAGCAACAGTTTGGTGAGCTCCTTTAAGTCACAGTTATACCAGCCACAGGGGCTGCGCAGTCTCCAGAGCAGCCCGTGTTTAAACCACAGGGAAAGTAACAGCAGGTGATTGCGGGTCCCCTGGTGTTCCACAGCACTGTGTTGCCAGAGAGAACAGTGTTAGTGGGAAAAATACACTGATGTTGAGCATAGAACATGAAATTTACTGTAGCGAAGTCAGCGGTTGAGTACATTGTGGGATAAGTCAGTAGAGGTGGGCCCTGCTCTGGGTTTTACCTAGTCATTTGAAAAAAGAACTCACTGGAGATCTCATAGCCAAAGTACTGATCCACATTAGCACTGGAGTTCCCTTCTGATTGAGCTTTTGATGAGAAAAATGTTTGATTTCCCATCATTTGCCTTAGAGCAGAACAAACCAGTGGACTTCAGACTGCACTTCAGATGAGGTGTGCTATTCAGTGGCTGTGCAAATGTTTGGAGTATATGATTTTGAGCAACCTGGTCTAGTGGAAAGTGTCCCTGCCCATGGCAGGGGGGTTGGAACTAGATGGACTTTAAGGTCCCTTCCAACCCCAACCATTCTATGATTCTATGATTAGCTCAATGTAATTCAGTTGTTCCTGTCTTCCTGAAATGGGTAATACCTAGTAATTAATGCACATGACTAACGCTTAGAATTGACAGACAGACACTGAAAGAGATTCCTTTAGGAATGTTTTACGTTGTTGAAGATGCGGTATCAAACTGTGACTACTGCAGCACATTCAGTAATGTATTAGTAAGATCATGAGAAAATGCAAGTAGAAAAATCTCTGTATAATGTACCATTTCAAATTAAACTCATGTTTTCAAATTTGATGGAAATAAGAGTTCTTTGCAGTTATTTCAAGCTGTAGGTGCTTTTTTTTTTTTTTTTGGAAGCTCATAAATTGATTTCCTAGGGTGAAATCACAGCTGTATCATGTAAAAACAGTTTTGCTTCCTGCCCTGTCCATAAGTGCAATACATAGGTAAGTCTCAGGATTCATGTGAGTGTGGATGAACTGCCAAGGTACCTGATGCATTTTCACAAATTCAAAGCTTTCAGCAGTTAACAGCATAAATGCCTTGTTCATCTGCATCTTTCCCAACTGGCTGCTGAAGTCTTTGTGATTTTACAAAGCCTAGCAGAAGGATAGCCAGACAGCTCTGTGATGAAGCTATCATCTGGGAGGGAGTTCTTACTTCATTAGCCTTTGGCTAGACTTCCACTGTCCTCTGACAGCATGCATCCACCAAACCTGACAAGTACCCTGAAATGATTCTTTATTGAGTTTATCCAAGGTTTTAATAGGTGAGAGAACTAAGTCAGCGTTTAAAACAAGCTTTAACTTAGGTGATAAAAAGCATTTTGCTTTTAACTGTCTTGATTTTGGGTCCCTTGGGAAGCTGGAATTTTGATGGTCGTGCATTTTCTATAGCAAAAGAATGATCCCCTCCTAATGTTAAAAAAGTTCAAGGCAGCTCTTACATGGTACAAAGAAAACCTGTGCATAAACCATAATCTCTCTACATAGTTATGATAGACATTTCTTCAGATAACAAATGTTACCATGCAATTCAATATCAGAAGTAAAGTCTTCATTGCCTTTTGGCTTCAGCTACTCATGCACTGACTTTTGTTTCTCTTGGTCAGATCTATAGACAACCTTTGGAAAGTGTTAAATCCAGAAACAGACAGCCTGGTGCAGTATTTGAGTCTCTTCCTATATATGAGGTAAGCACAAATGTTTTCTTTCCTAGCTTTTGTGGCAGCATTCATACAGCAGAAGCCATAGGCACAACCACCTTCAACATTCTGTTGTTAACTAACTGCTTCTCAATTTAATTTTCTAACATGGTTTGTATTACCACCTATCCAACTCCATTCTCCATTTGGTGGAAGCTTGGGAAGCCAGATGAAGAGAGCACGCTGCAACGTGAGTATTCCAGATATTTACTTCTCCTGTTCAACTGCATGTCATCAACTTTTTGCTCAGAATCAACTCTTTATTGAAGGTCCCAAAAATTACTGATTCTTATCAGTAAGAATAAGAATCAGCCCTAAAATTATTGATTCTTATCTGCACAAAGCTTTAGCTATCGGAAGTCAATACTGTTTTATGGGTACTGTTGATTTGATTTATTGGAAGCTGTCTAGCAACGCTTCCTAGGCTGTTCCATGGATTAAAACCAGGATGTCCACCACCTTGTCTGTCCTACCTGTCATAGATGGGAAGACTCACCCCTAGCAGAGGTGCTGATCTCTTTCTACAGGGGGTACCTAGATAACTAGCTTGGATGAGACTCCTAACATCTAGCTGGCTAGTTAGGTGGGATGAATAAGGTACTCTGCATTCACATGTACATGACCTAAGGTTTGTGCATGCAGCATTACAGACTATCTCAGAAAACAGAAAACTCAGGAGCACAGTGTTCAAATAGTTGGCACATATGCTATACTTCTGACCACTGATGTGCCTTGGAAATCTATGTTTCGTTTCCTTCCAGAAGAAGAAAACAAAATACAGGGGGTCTTGTGACTTGGCAAGTAAGGGGCAACTGCACTGAAGACAAAGGCACTGCAATGTATTTACAATAAAATGACATCAGATTTTTCTGAGAGCTATGTGCACAACAAATAATTTTTTTCACTGCTGTTGTGCAACACTATTAATATATTCAGGTGTTCTGTTCACCCAAATAGTTTAACTAGTTCTTGAGATTTTGCAATTTATTTTTTAAAGGTTTTCTGTGGAAGAAAGCTGAGATGTCCCATCCCACTAGATGGACAACGGAGGCAGATTTCAGTGGAGAACACAGTCGAGGCAAATAAAAGTAGTGTCGATCTTCAGGAAAGTGGGTTAGCACGTTCCTTATTTCAATTCTTTCTGGTTTTGGGGTTTTTTTTATGTTTGTTTTTTGGGGTTTTTTTTACCTATTATATTTAAATCCATTTCATTATTAAGTAGAACATATAGAAAACAAATCTTTGTTTCTGTTCCAGTCCTTCAGGCAGAGAAAATATTCTAATAAGACCAGTGTATGATTGTAAGAAGTTACTCACAGAAAAGCCCATCTGACTCCACTTTTTGATAGTTAAGAAGGAAACGCATCTTACTATGATTACCTGCAGAAAGATTCAGAGCCACAAAGCTGCAAAAACTCTTCTTTTTCTAGCCATACAGACTTCTGTGAAGAACAGCAAATGTTATTCCAGAAGTACTGCTCTAACCTTTCTCTTTGGTGTCCTTGAATAGGCAGAGTTTGATGGGATGTTCCATAGGTAGCATACACACGCCACAGTATAGGTAGCATACACACGCCACAGTATAGGTAGCATACACACGCCACAGTCAAATGGCTTCTTCCAGAAACACTTAGATTTCCTTGTCAATCATGTGGACATAAGACCGAAGGAAGATTGAGAACTAGCAATTGGTTTGACACTCTGATACAAAGATGGCTGAATTTTAGTGCCGAAGGAGATGGGCTGTATCATCCAGTCTAACCTTCTGGGTGGCACAAGGCAGAGGAACCGTCATGAATATCTTCTGTGGCCAAATGCCTGTTTGTTACTATTTTGGTTTCCAGTTGAAGGGAGCATCCTAGGGTTCTTGATGTACATTTGCTGACAGTTATTCTCCATGACAAAACCAAGGGTTTCCTGTCTGATCCAAATTTGTTTAGTTTGGACATTCATATATTGAATATTATGCTGCCTTTTGTCTGCCAGATTAAGCTTCACAGCCATCAAAAATCCTTTCCAGAGATGATGATTCTTAATCAAAGAAGTCAGTGTCTGCTCTCCATGATCCGGTCAACTTGCCTAAGCTGAGAGTAAGGAGCAGGCTGGGCAGCGTAGCTGAGGGGCAGCGCACTGCACGGCACTCGGTCTGAACACAAGCCCTGTCACCTCCAAAAGGTTCTGCACAGGTCTGGCTCCAGTATCCCTGAAGATGTTCCCCAGGGCCTCTGGCTCTATTCCCCCAAAAGAGCCCCTATGAAACAGGAACTCAGGGGACTGTGATACAGAGGAATTGTACCTGGCGCTCTGTGAGCTGATTTGGAGGCAGAAGCAAAACAAAAATGGTTTTCTCCTTTACCCAGGTTTTGTCAGCCTCCCAACTACTCTTGATGGCAAAGTTACCTGTAATTTGAGCTTTGTGAGTCTCTCACTACAAGGCAGATTCCTGAAGCCTTTTTATCTCTTCCCATCACAGTGGTTATGTTTGTGTCTGCCTCCGAGCTCCATTTTTTACTCACAATCTTACAAGCATCAGATACACAACAAGGAGTTAATATGTCATGCTGTTTCTGCCTGTTAGTTCCTTGCTTATGCTTTAAAGAGCACGTCCATCCACTAAGCCGGAGGAGTGCATGCTGAGCTCATATTCAATTAATTATCTGTCATGATTCCCTGAATCCTTCTTGGCATTTCAGCATTCCAGGGTAGTGTCACGACATGTTGAAGGTCACAGAATACATACTCTGTCATCCTTTGTCTGGCTAAAGGTACAAATCCTTGCCACATGTGTCACCTTAGTGATTATTTAGGATAATCCATGTAACGTGCCATTATTACCTATTATTTGGGGGAAAACAGCAGGTTTTCTTTATTACTGTTAATGAAGAGTGTTTGATCTGCTGGCCTTCTTGGAAAGACTGTCTTCTTTTGAGCTGAATGTACAACAACATGCAATGATTTACCTGTCTTCAACTTGTTACAGGGCTATGATGGATCTTAGGGTAATAGTGCCCTTTTTTTTTTAAGCCAAATATCTTGTGGGAGTGTATTTAAAGATGTTATCATCAACTGTACTGCATCTGCCTGAGATGCAGCTAATTTTCTTCATAGCAGCCTGTATGGTGCTGTGTTCTGGATCTGTGAAAAAAGCAGCGTTGATAACACACCAGTGTTTTGGTCATTGCTGAGCAATGCCTGCACAACGTCAAGGGGTTTTTCCACCCCACCAGCGAGTTGGCTGGGGCTGCACAAGATGCTGGGAGGGGACACAGCTGGAACAGTTGACCTGAACTGCCCAAAGGGATATCCCATACCATTTAATGTCCTGCTCAGCATACAGAGCTCATGGAGTGGAGGTGGAAAGCAAGTTATGGTGTTTGTCTACCCCAGTAACCATTATGCGTGCTGACAGTCTGCTTCCCAGGAGGTGGCTAAACATCTGCCTGCTGATGGGAAGTAGTGGATGAATTCCATATTTTGCTTTGCTTGCACATGCAGCTTTGCTTCACCTATTTAGCTGTCTTTATCCTGACCCATGAGTTTTCTTGCTTTTGCTCTTCCAAATCTCTCCCCCATCCCAATGGGAGAAGCAAGCAACTGGGTGGGCGCTTAGTGTTGGCCAGGGTCAACCCCCAACATTAACCAACCTCGTGATAAAAACTAAAATCAAGCTTGTCCGACAAACCAAGCAGCACCAGATGATGTGTAATCTGCCATTTACTATTTGTGTCCCCTTCATCCCCTCGTGATTCAGCAGTCAGCATATGAAAGTAACACCCCTGCAGCTCCCAGAGTCCTATTTGCTTCTGAAAGACAACTCCCTTCCCGTTACATGAAAATTGCCTACTCTTCAAAGATTATTAAAAAAGAAAGTTCAGGTTCGGGAGCTCTTTACCCATTTCTTCTGATGTTTTTTATGTGTTGTTTTATAATTGTGTGAGATTTTCTCTTTGGTATTCTCTCTAGTTATAGTTAGAACTAGAATACTTTCCTGTGGTTCCAGGATGCAGATATCCCACTTCTCTTCAGTTTATTAACTATTTACGCACTCAGAACTATTTACAGAAATGACTATTTACTCGTTCTTTTTTTTACCAAAACTTAAGTGCTGCTAGGGTTTTATAGGTTCTTTATTTTTGAATTTTACTCTTGCTGCCTGCTCCTTTGGTTTTCATTATTAATTGCCTGCATTTTCCAAGAGCTGATTTGTTCTCCTGTATATTCATGCCACTTTATTCTCCACTGTGTGGAAAAGCCCACCCATAATGTAATATGGCTCCCAATAACAATGAAGTGTTTAATCCTATGCTGAATGAAATCAATGGGCCATCTCTCAAGAGGGAACAATCCTGTAAGGTAAACTGTCAGAAATTCCTGACATGTATGTGTTACCTTCAGCGCCTTCCATCCAGTTACTACCTGGCCATTGTGCTATTTAAACTGTGACAAAATTACGGTGCCATAATGCTCTCAGGCCTTTTTTCATAATTAATTTCTTTAACAAAACCTGAAGTAGTTCAGACTGCACATCCTTGCTCAGCATTACTGTTTACTTGAAGAGTTCCAACTCCCAGGGCTTTATAAACACCAAATGGAAACTGGTCCCGGCCCCAAACATTTTACACAATGATATTATCCGATTGTCTTTCTTAAGAGTCACAAGAAACGCAGAAACACTCCACTTCTTTGAACAGATAATCTACCAAGGCACTGCACAGAGTTAATTAGAAGAAGAGTAGTTGTTTATTGTGTGCTAGAGAACAGAGGATGCTACTGGAAAGAAATGAAGCACAGCAAAGCATACGAGGCAAGTGATACTTCCAAATATATCCACTCGTCTTCAAGCAGTCTTTACAATCCTGGATCTAGTACAAAGCTGTGTGTCCACAGGACTGCTGCTGGTAGCTGTGGATTTCCTCTGTGTCAATGTCCTGTATTCCCTTGCGGGTTGGTTTCTTTCCACCAGCATCCACAATTATACTGCAGGCTTAAATGTTCCAGGCGTCGCAGCTGTTCTGTGTTTCCAGATCATTACTGTATTATGGCAAGGTGGCTTAACAAGACAGCCTCTTTCAGCACGGCAGAAATTCATGGTTGTACTGGCTGCAGTAGTTAGTTTGCCAGAATTTCATTACAGCCCTTGCTAGTGCTTTACAAAATCTGGGACGTTCTGCAGCTGCCCTCACCCACTGAGGTAGTTCAAGCTGAATGGCATCAATGGTGCCAGAAGTAAGGGAACCAAACATCTTCGTTATGTATCCACCACTGTAATAGCTCCCGTTATTTGGGCTAGGATTGGATGGGGAAGGCACACAAACATAACTGTAATTTTGCTCTTCAATATACTTACCCAAACTTCTGTTCCCTGCAACCAGAGTCTCAGAAGACACATTGCCTAGCTGACTGGCCAGATGGCTAATGGAAGAACACGATGCAGAAAAGACACCTGAGTTAAGGGAAGTTTTTGAAAGGGTATAACCTAGTTCTATCCACCGTTCAGGATGTGCTTGTCCATGGATATCCAGAATCAGGCCCCCTGTCATTTGTGATTTTGCAGTGGTCAAAAATCCCATATACTCTTCCCAGGCCTGTTCTGCTTGGGGAATTCCAAAGGAGGCTTCTTCCTTTTCCCTGTTAGCATCCATCTTGAACCTCTGGAGGTGGTTTATAATGATATGTGGGAAGAAGACATCAGTAATTTTGTTGATTTCTTCAGCAAGAGCCCGAGCCACCTCAATAGTATGCCTGTCTTGGTTGGTAGACACGTTGCATTTGGTATAATTTTGAATACTTCCAGGGGGACACTTGTGAGAGAAAATACAAGAGGATGTCTTTGCATCCCAACAGGCAGCCTCTCGATCAGGGATGTCTTTGGGTTCCATTGACCCACCATGTGGGACAGAGAGAATCAGGTTCATGTTGCCCACTTGATATTCTGTGAAATTATTATGACCGAATATAACCTCTCGGGTGCCAGTGGCTTTCAGAAGCAAATATAAAATGGAAAGAAGGAACAGATACATATTTTTAATTTGCTGCTGGAAGACTCAGCAATATGGAATGTATCAGTACCTACATAAAAGAAAAAGACAGGTTTTAGATTACTTACAGCTGGGAACACATGAGACTGTTCAGATGTTGCTGGAATAATTAGTTACTGATTAAACTATTTTAATTTTATTCCATGTAGCACAAAGAAGAGTACTTATATGAGAAACAAAAATGAACAGGGCAATTAGTGTGGCTAGATGTAAATGATGTAGTGTTTACAAAAGAGAGGATTATCCCAGAATAACAGGGAAAGGAAAATGGTAGGTTACTGGGTCTCCTTCATTTCCCCAGAAAGCACAGACACTGATCATCCTATCTGATCCCAGAGAATCACTAGATCCCAGTAAACTATTTTAAATATTTTCTTCCCACCAGGGCTTCCCTTTTTTTTTTTCACCTCCTAAGTGTAAGAAAATTCTAATAAAATTTGATAGAACATCTGCATCTCATTGACCTGTGTGAAATATCTTTCCATTATCCACATGGACAGAA